ACCAATAGGATTCATGCCCAATGCATATGGGGAAAATATCAGTGACCTACCCTATAATTAGAAGTAGTCATTCCTTCTTTATTAGATTTAACAGGTCCCTGGTTATCATGGGGACTTGGGAGCTACTGACTGTCATTATTATAAATAGGTACAAGAGTATCAAACCAATGAACTACTTTTAATAATGGAGGATTACTAATATATGCCCAATAACTGGTATTATTAGAAGTAGTCATTCCTTCTTTATTAGATTTAACAGGTCCCTGGTTATCATGGGGACTTGGGAGCTACTGACTGTCATTATTATAAATAGGTACAAGAGTATCAAACCAATGAACTACTTTTAATAATGGAGGATTACTAATATATGCCCAATAACTGGTATTATCTGCCATTCTTACCTGACTCAATACAGCAAGCAGAGCTAAAAAGAAATGTTTAGAAGAAATTAGTTTCTCTGTTATTTGTAATACTTTTTTTCCTTCTAGTGTTAATTTCTTTATCTGGCCTTAATGTAGGTGTCTCATCCTTTCTAATTTCTGGTAATGGTCTTTGTGCTTGAGATTTCTTTAATGTTGTCATACTTACCCATTCTGCATCTAAACTTCTAGGTCGCTTTATCTATGCAGCTGTGAAAGACTGGTTGTGTGTTTATTTCTGGCATTCCAGACTACCAAGGGTAAACAGTCTGGCCAGCTTTATGACCACCAAGCAGTCCATTTTAAATCTTTATACATAAATTTAGAGGTTTTATCCTTTAAAATTTTTTCAGCTGTAGCTTCTAGTTTATTTATCTTCATTCCACTACTTTTTTTTTCTTTCTTCATCTTCTAAATTAGAGGTTTTGTGTTAGCTTTATTCTTATCTTTTACTTTTCTTATTTTACTGAAATTATCAAATTATATGAACTCAAAACTATTACTATATTAAACTTAAGACAAAAAGCAAACAAATGAAGAAACAACAACAGCAAACTTAAACTAAAAACAAAACAGTCAACAAAACACAGAATACTTATAGGCTTCTGTTTTGAGTCTTAGCAAAGACTTTACATCTACCTTGTGAACTCAGTTGCATTTTCTTTTTATTTGCTTTCTTTTTGTTTTTCTAAATCATGTTTTAAATTGTAAATAATTTCCTGGGAAGAACACTGTTTGGGTCAACACATGCCAATTAAGAGAAAATTGTAATTCAGGATTGTGTCTTCCTAAGGCTCTTTCTAAAGGTGACAAAAGCTGTTTCTTGCCGTCAGCTTTAATCCTTTAATGTAATGTCTCTTAATTCATATTTATGCAGAGATTCAGCTATCTGTGCAGATTTTTTGAATCGTGAATACAATCTTGCATAGACATTACTACTATTCTTATCAAAGTCCATATTGGGCAAAAATTAATAGGAATCTGTTCGGTTTTTGATGTGCTCTTCGTAAAGTTTGCATAACATCTTGCCAAATGTTTTCATTTAACTGTGATTCTGCCCACTGGTTTAAACCAGTAAGCATATTTCTCCACATACTGAAACAAGTGCAAAAAAGATCTTTCTTTCATCTTTTCAGCAATCCGCTGAATTTGTGCCATGAGCACAGAATAACCATGGTGGAAGGCATTTTTTTTTCACTTCCAGAGGAGGTGGAAGCAAGTCTTCTAATTCATCTGAGGACATAAAAGAACTTTCCTCCTCTCTTAATAAATCAGGATTTTTAGCCCTCTCTTCTTTAGTTATAGGAGGAGGTACCACAGGAGATGCAAGCCCTCCTGAATTCAGGAACAGCACCAGGAGCCAGGATAAATTATCGTCAGCCGACTCATATCCCCTATGCTCATACTGTTGTTTGGGGCCATGTTGCTCACAATCAGTCTCAGACTCTGAGGATTATAGAGCAATGAAAATCAAATTGCACAATGACCAGACATGTATGGGAACTGGGTCTCCTGTCTGGTGAGCTCTTCTCAGAGCTCTCATAACTTGTTTACATACTTAAGCATTCGATTGCAGCCAAAGGGATGGAACCAATAACAATGCTTCTTTACCAAAGAAAATAAGTCCTTAAAGGTTGATTTTTTTATGTTAACACCCGAGCCTTGTAGCAGGGCATGGAGCAACTTAATATATTGAGCTTCTGTGGATGGGGAATTTCTCGTGATTTCTTCTTTTTTCCTCCTGCCTCCAAATTCATAAAATAATTTATTAAACCTCGGAGGGGAGAAAAACCTCATGAAACCTTTTATACTTCTTTTATTTCCATATGCTCATCTCTCCTGTCTCCTCCCACCTTCTGAAAGTGTTTTGTTTGGGATTTCCTGTGGTTGGTTGTTCTGCTGACCAGTTTTTCACGGGTGTTATTTGTTGTTCAGTTTATAGGTTTGCTTATTGTTTAGCTGAAAAGTGATCTCCAGAAGTGGGTTCAATTCTAGATTTGAAAGATGGCAAAAAATCATAGTTTCATTAGGCTAGTAAGTCTAGACTGTTCCATGATTTTGTGTTTTCTTTTTTTCCCTCCTCCACCTCTACTTTATCCTAAGACTTTATATTGTGATCCTGATTAGAGAGATCCATTGTGGTAGCCAAGCACCATCTTGATGGTCTCAGGCTATTGGAGTCTGTGCTGCATATAAGTCCATTAAACCTGTGGACTGATTGTTTCCTTAAGTCTTTGGTTTTCTTTACTCTTCTTTGCTCTGAATGGGAAGAGGCCAGTAGTATCTTTAAAAGACTACGTGCAAGCTTTTTAAAGACCCTGTCGGTTGCAGCTCTATTAGATGGAGCTCATTATCTGTATGCATTGCATTATGCCAATTGACCTAACATGCTCTCTGAGTCTATGGGGCTAAGCTTGGATGCCCACTGTCTTAGTTTCTTAAGATGTTTGGTTAAGGCTAAGAAGTTTTGCTTAACTTTGGGTCCTGTTTTGTTCAACTGTGTCCTCATATCTACTTATTGATTATTGCAAGAGCTCTGGGAAATGAGCAGACAGTCTCTCTACAGAATAAAATGAGACCCACAAAAGCAGTATTGCACTGTAGCAGTTGGTGGAATTGAGAACTAGACTATAAATCCCTTGGCTCTCTGTCCAGGAGTCCTGAGCGCTTGTGATGAGAGCCACAATCCTGGTTGTTCAGATGAAAGGCAGTGTAGAGCTCTACAGCAAAGTCCTCAAGTTGAAGGGTACGCTTTCAAAATCCTGTACTTAGAGACAATTTATTAATACATTGGTTCAATGGATAATTCTAGTGTCCTGGAGCAGACATTCTGGGCACTTAAAATACTGCCAGAAGTGAAAGAGGCAAAACTCCTGTGGGGATGGAATTTAAATTCTAATGTTAGCAATCAGACAGTAAGCACATAAGAAAAACTCTCATAGCTTTAAGGACTGTAAGGCAGTAATGAGTGCTGTGAAGAAAAATAAGGCAAACAGGAAGCTGGGTAGGTGGGTGGGGACATGAATTTCTTACGATTCTTTTTTTTTTTTTTTTAATTTCTTACGATTCTTGACACTATTATCTCATCCATCTGAGAGGCTTGTTGATCCAACACACCCAGTACAAGTTCCTGCATTTCAAGACTTGGAGATTTATTTTAGAGTTGAACAAGCTTTACATAATTTAAGTAGATATAGGGACGTGTGTTTGCACACTTGTACACATGTGGACAGACTGCCCCCCTATAGAGCTTGGGTAGGCCGAGTGGTTCTTGAGCGTGCTGCTGGTGGCTGCGAGGGCTTGCTTTAGTCTTAGAGATTAGGTGTTAATTGTAGAACTCCCCCTGCTGTTAGAAGATGGAATGGGCTTTAAGCAGAACCTGTAAGACTGAAATTTTTTAGTTGTATGTTTTACACTTTTTAATTTAAATAAATACTAATGAGACGTTTCTTCTAGGACTGCTATTTCTGTGACCCAGTCTTACCAGGCAGAGAGGAAGCACAAAGCTGCAGGCAGGATAGGGTCCTATCTATTCTCTTGCTACTTTTAGCAGCTCCCTAGCCCTGCACGCATAACCACAGCCATCAACCAAGCAGAAATTATCTCTGCACTCAGTTTCACAGCTGTTCTAAGTTAGAGGGCAGAAGTGAAACTGACCACAGTCTTGTCAATTTCTCTCTTATTGTTCTTGTTCCCTACTTAAGTGAGTCAGACCTTTCTACTCCCACTTAGCTCCACCCACTCCCCCAATTCCTTGGGCTCTTGAATAATAATTTCTTCCTAATAGCTGAGTTTCTGACAAAAGGAGGAAGACCTTTTTGTTGTCTGGCATTTGTGGAGGACCTTGTCCTGAGTCTCTCCCCTCCAGGCTGTTTGCTGCGACTGAGCTCTAAGATCTGAGTAGTAGTTTCCTCATAGCAGAGCTGAACTCTTGACTAGGGTCATGGCTTCCCTCCTGTCAGCAGCCAATCATGTATGCCCACCAGAATTAGCCATACTGTCACTGTGAGGCTCTTTGAGTCCCTCCAGATGAAATTAAGTTCATTTTACCCATCCTGTTAATATCACCTGAAGGAGGGAGGAATTGGCACCTGAGTGGATATTTTTCTTTTTTATGCAGTTACCCCAGTAGAACCGTTTGGGTCATTTAAGTTTATCACAGTTGCCGCAATAAGACGGTTTGGGTCACTTGATGAACTTAGTAAGGTTTGAGAAAGTAGGTAACCTCCCTAGCCTGCAGCTCTGCTGCTCTCTGTTGCCAGCAGGTGGGTACTCTTGGAGGCTAATGATAATTTTTACACGAGTCAGTACAGGGATAGGGCCAGAGTGGTTTGTAAAGTTCCAGACCATGTGTGTACTTTATAGGATCCAAGCTTAAGCAGTGACTGCTCGCATTATAATCACAAACTGTTTGAGTGGGCTGTTCTCGCATTGACATGCTTACTCAGGTGCCCTTTCCCCCTCACTGTAACTGATATTAAGGCTGCTAAAATTAACCTGAATTTAAAATGTTACACTTTAAATTATAGCACTGATATGATGCTTCCCTTTGAAGTAATTCTCTTATTTTTCTCCCTACAGCTTTGAAAAGTCCAGCTGCATTTCATGAGCAGAGACGGAGCTTGGAGCGGGCCAGGGTAAGTACTCTTCTCCGAGGGCCTCCTGAGAACATTCCCAGTGTTCACTGCATTGCTGATTCTGCTTCTCTGCAGAAACAGATTCTCAGAGTTAGCCATTACCTCACAATCCTAAATAGAATTTCCATCCTGCCCTAGTCATCTGCTAAGGTAACTGTGGAACAGGACCGGAATGAGTTTACCATCAGCACATTCAGTCCTTCTTTCCTGAATCTTCTTTGAGATCATTAGGCTTTCCCATGTTTAACTCCACTAACCATTTGTAGCTGCCAGCTGGTGAGCACCCGTTTGGGCAGTGACCCATTGTGTCCAGGGCTTCAGTGCCCTGTCCTGACCTCCAGGGGTAGGAAACCTGTCTGCCATGAGCAAGTCCATGTTTACATACACTCTTTGGAAAGCAGAAGCTGGGCTTTGCTTGGACCCCAAGTTTCATGCTGCAGCACCTCACTTGCTGCCATTCCCCATCTGGGTTTCACTTCCTCCAGGGACCTCTAGGGGATATTCAGCAATCCCATTGTGGGAGAAGATGGGGAAGTACTGGAACATGTATGCTTTCTCACCTGCTTCACCTTTCCCTTTAATGTAAAAGACAAGGAATTGGGACCACACCAGAAGGAATATTAGAAGCCTTGCTTCCCTGAAAACCCACAATTCTTTTGTTGTTACTGATTGTCATTGTTAGATGCTCTTGAATTGAGTATGACTCCCAGCAGCCCTATGAACAGTAGTTCCGAACCCTAGCCTATCTTATGCCATCCTCACACTTCCTGACATACTCGAATCCATTAGTGCAATCACTGAGTCAGTCCATCTGGTTGAGGGTCCTCCTCTCTTTCACTGATTCACCACCTTGCCAAGCAGGTTGTCCCTCTCCAAGGACTATCCTCTCCTAGTAACATGCCCAAAGGATGTGAGATGAAGCTTTGTCATCTTTGCCTCCAAGGAGCATGCTGACTGTACCTTCTCCAAGACATACCTATTTGTTTGGCAGTCCATGAAATATTCAGTATTCTTCTCCATCACCACAGTTCAAAGTCACTAATTCTTCCTCTGTCATCCTTGTTCATTGTCCAGCTCTCAGATGCATAGCAAGAAACTGAAAGACCATGGCCTGAATCAGGCACAACCTAGTCTTCAAACTGACATCATTGCTCCTCAGTTATTTGGAGAAGTCCCTGACTACATACTTTCTCAGTGCAATATGTGTCCTGACTGCTGGTACCAACTGTATTGACCGTGGTAAGATAGTCATTGACAATCTCAACCTTTTCTCCATCTGTCATGATGGGAAGAATTTGTGTTTCCTTACACTGAGGTGCAATCTATATGTGAAGGCTGCAGTGTTTAACCTTCTGCACCGGGTGCTTCAAGACCTCCTCACTTTCAGCAAGCAAGATTATATCATTTGCATAATGAAGATTACTGATGAGTCAGTAATCCTAATGGCACGTTTTTCTTCATAAAGCCAGTTTCTCAAATAATTTGCTAAGCATACAGATTGAATAGATATGGAGAAAGGATACAACCCTGACATACACCTTTCCTAATTTTACACTATGCTCAGTTCCTTTGCTCAGTTCTCACAATAGCTCCTTGGTCTAGGTACAGGTTCACAATGAACATAATGAAAAAAAGCTATTTTAGACTTTCTAAAATATTTATCTCTCAGCAACAATAGCAAAGTTGAACAAAGAAACAAACAACAAATGCTGGCAAAGTTGTGGAGAGATTGGAACCCTTATTCACTGATAATGGGAGTATAAAATGGTGCAACCACTATGGAAGGTGGTCTGATGCTTTCTCAGAGAGTTGGAAATAGAAATACCATTTGACCCAGCAATTCCACTACTGGGAGTATACCCTAATGAAACCAGACTGCCACCCAAACAGGTGTACATGCATCATGTCTGTTGCTGCACTATTCACAGTAACAAAGAGATGGAAGCAACCCAAGTGCCCATCAACAAACGGTGGATAGAAAAACGTTGCTATATTCAAACAATGGAATACTATGCAGCACAGAAAAAGAATGAACTCAAAGCATTACACAACATGGGTGACCCTGGAGGACCTTATGCTGAGTGAAATATATCAGTCACAAAAGGATATATATGACATAACACTACTGTTATAAAGCAGGACTGACATTGGAGGTTAGGAGAAGAACAGGAAAAGAGTCAAATGATAATGAAAACTACACTGGAACAGATAAAGGCAAGAACTGTTTAAAAGGAATGTGTAATTGCACATTATATGTATGACAACAGTCCAGAATAAGAGGTACATTGGAAAGTGGACAGAGGGAGGAGAGAGGAAGGGAAGAAATTGTGCAATAATGAATGAATATTTAAGAAAGTAAACTGGGGAAGGGGAGGGAGAGAAAGGTGCAACAGTGAACTGATGAAAATCCAACTTTTCTGTAAACTTTTATTTAAATCACAAAATACATTTTATTTTAAAAAATAAAATACCTCCAAGATTTTTCTTATGTTCTTACTTTTTTTTTAACATTTTGTAATTTATAGAGCTAATTAGTTTCCCATTCAGCAATTTATACACATTTTCTTTTGAGGCATTAGTTACAGTCCTCTCACTGAGGTTTTTGTTCCCTTTCTAGGTCTGTTTGTTGCTTGGTGGAAAGGAGCGAGCTCAGCTCAGGAACAGGAGAGTGTCTGCGGGTGATAAGTCACCAGGCTTCCATTAGCCACTGTTAGACTAGGGAATCTGACCTTGTATTCTGGTTTTGAATTTCCTTCTCCTCTTACTAACCCTCTGCCTGGGACTCCTCTGTTTGATCTTGATGACAGTGGTCAGTAGTGGTAGACAGGGCCCTAACTCGTTCTTTTGGCAGAGGTTGTGGTCCTTGTGGGCCCTTAGTCCATTGGGCTGATTGTCTTCTAGTGTCTTTGATTTCCTCCCCTCGTCTTTGCCTTAGATTGAAAGAGTCCACTGTGTGCATCCTAAATGACCACTTGCAGGCCTTTAAGATCCCAGTCAATTATCACTGAAATAGGATATAAAACATTGTCTTTATGGACTATGATGATCTAGATGTTCCCTGAGACCATAATCATAAATCCTCAAGACCAGTCACTGAGTTTCTTCAGGTGTCTGGTTATGACTAAAAATATTAACTGTTTCTTGTGTGCTTTACCATGTCCTGCTGTATTTGCAGCACACACAAGTTCCTATGTAGCCATATCCTCTGCCCGCCCTTTCTATGCTCATGGCTTTACTCCCATATGCCATTTCACACATCCTGCATCTGCTTACATATCTACTCATGTATCCACTGAAATTATTGTTTGTATATATAGTAGTGCATATCACTGCTGCCTTTCACCCTGGTGTGCTGCCCCGTATTTATTCTGCTTTGACCATATTGTGCTAACTGCCCACTTAATGTGTATTATGGTTCTCTTCAGCCAAGTTAATATATGTCTACTATCTAGAAAACAGCTGTCTGGCCAACTTACTGAAAGACATCCATATTTGTTCCCATTCCCAAGATAGATGACCTAACAGAATGTAGACATTATTAAACAATGTCCTTGTACCACATGCAAGCAAAATATTGCTAAAGATTATCCAAAAATGGCTAGAACAGTACATTGACAGAAAACTGGCAGAAGTTCAGGCTGGGTTTAAAAGAGGCCGTGGTACCAGGCATATCATTGCTGATGTCATATAACCTTGGCTAAAAGCAGAGAATAGCAGAAGAATGTCTGTTTATACATTATTGACTATGCAGAGGTCTAAAATTGTGTGGATCACAACAAATTATGGCAAACATTGAGAAGAATGAGAATCCTAGAACACTTAATTGTGCTCATGTGAAACCTATACCTAGATGAAGAGGCTATTGTCTGAACAAAGCAAGGGACATGGTTTTAAGTCAGAAAAGGTATGCATTTGAATTGTATTCTCTCTCCATACCTATTCATTCTGTATTATTATTGTTGACTGCCTTCAAGTTGGTCACGAATCATAGCGACCTTGTGAACAAAAGGCCTGAAGCCCTCTACAACTATCAACATTTATCAAAATTCATAGAGCTATGCACACCAGTGTTTATCGCAGCTTTGTTCACAATTAGCAAGGAGTTGGAAACAACCCAAGTGCCCGTCAACAAACGAATGGATAGAGAAGCTGTGGTATATTCGCACAATGGAATACTACGCTGCATTGAAAACCAAGGAATTCATGCAATATTATTCAAAATGGGTGACCCTGGAAGACATTATGCTGAGTGAAATATCTCAGTCACAAAAAGAGAAATATTGCATAGTGCCACTGTTGTAAATTGGAACTGACATCAGGGTTGGGATAAGACTGAGAAAAACTGGATAAATTATGAATACTGCATTGAAACAGATGAGGGAGAGAATAGTTTAAAAGTAATATATGATAGGGTATTATGATTATCACAGGAGTCCAGAATTAAGGTTGCATAGTGGAGTGTATTTGGGGTTTATTGTATACCAATGAAGGAATTTTGCTTTTCAAAGAGAGGAGTGAAATGGGGGTGGGGAGGGTGGGCAGGGAGAAAAGTACAACAATGAATGAATGGAAATTGAAAATCTCTGTGTAGATGTTCACTAAAATTAATAAAATAAAATTTTTTAAATCTTAAAAAAATCAGTCATTAAAAAAATTCATAGAGCTTTTTGACGCATGTTATTTAGGAAATGGATGCCACTACAAATAATTGGAGAAACTGGACTTTATTAAGAAGAATGTGGTATCAGAATTTGAGAAAAATCTTAACAACCTGGGTTACGCAGATAATATAACCTTGCTTGCTGAAAGGGAGGAAGACATGAAGCGTTTGCTGCAGATCAAAGATTACAGCTTTTAATATGAATTATATCTCAGCATCAACAAGACAAAAATCCTTACCACTAGACCTATAGGCAACATGATGATGATGTTGTTGTTGTTGTTCTTAAGTGCCCTTGAATCATAGACGACTCATAGTGACCCTATGAATGAAAGACCTG